AACGCTGGATTGACATCAGATGCCCATTAGGAAGGTATTTTTTAGTCCAAGTAAGACATTTTGATTTCATTTCTGGTTTCTACCTGGGTCTGGAGCATTCAAACCCCAGTTCTGCAATTCAACGCTTTGTAGTTCTGTTAGAAATCCGGATTCTTGTATGATTAAAGTAATTGCTTCTGTACTTTTTCTTCGGTTTCAATACAAATCGCCAGTTTATCTCTTGACGTAGTGATGCGTAGTTTCCCACATTTTCCACTTCTGGCACTACGTCTGGGTACTTTTTTTATAAAGTTTACCTTTGTTTCTACTTACTGTCATCACAGAAAATTAACTATTTTTTAATTTGCTTTGGGAGTGATTTGAATGTTTTAATAAAGCAGATTTTCCTGAAATTTTTTTTTTGCTTTTCCCATTTTTAGGTTCCTAAGTTCAAATATTTTTAGTTACAATTATTAGTTAAATTACTAATTATTGTAAAAAAAAAAAAAGTCAAAAAACCAGTTGACAAAAAAACCAATTTTTATTTATTACACACGCATTAGGGATCTTCTATAAAGTACGTACGCTCGGATGGAGGTGAGGGGGTCTGCAAATGGCGTATATTAGATAGGGAGGGGGTAGGTGGTCAATTATAAAAGTAAGGAGACACGAAAATAAAAAAATATCAAAAATTATTTGGTAGGTAGATTAAAAACGTTGGTACTTTAAGGGAGGTAAAGGGTATTAAAAAAAAACCTACAGCAAAATGCGGGGGTAGGGGGAGAGTGAAATAAAAGCGTGCGTACTTTGTAAACGACTCCTTATTGCGCAAATAACAATTTTGCATAGAATATGCAAAAGGCCCAATTCGCAGGTTTTTGCGTATTCTAGCTTATCAATTCGAAAAAATGTCACAATTTTTTATAAATGTTACAACTTCTATAAATTATATAGAAAACTACTATTGGTATTTAAATGTTGAAGAATGTTTAAATATAAACAAATTTGTCCTTTTAATATCCATATTTATTAACAGTTTTTGTGAAAAAACGAACTGTAACTAATAATTTAGCCGCCCACTGTACAAATTTATATCTTAGATAAAATTAATGTTGTAAAATAATCAATTCATGGTTTAAATCATTTCATTAATAAATTTAAATAAATGATTCTTAAAATATTACATCAAATTCATTGTTAATTTGGAACTGTTCAAAAAGAATTTATTTCATTGACAGAACATCTTAAAATCAAAACGATATTAATTATTTGCCAAACATAGTCGTTTTAAAATGTTTTTCAAGACCTAAAAAACAATGAACACTAATCAATATTGTAGGTCGAACACTTGCAATCGCTCAATAAATGCAATAGCAAACAATAAAGCAACATGTTTTTTTTCTCTTCCATTCTCGTCAGAGACTTGAAAAAATAAATGAAATTTTTAAGGTAATTTTAAAAAACATTAAATTAAATTTGTGCGCCCTTAATCATAAAATGTAAAATGTAAAGTTTTATTTCCGATACGAGGAAAACTAATTTCTTATTTTTACACTTGAGTAAAATAAAAACAAAGCAAAACTAAAATAAATTAATTTGAACTTAAATAAAATTTTAAGTCAACTTTGAAAATAATACTAATTTCTTCTTCTTTTAAATCAAAGTAGGTTGAACAGGAATGGTTAACTTAAGGTTATCAGGAATAGTTCTTCAACTTCATCTAGCAACAACTTTAAAGGTATTTTATTCTAGAAACTGTTCAGACAAACGATTAAAAATGACAGAATAGTATCTTTTCATGACCCTATCATAACGTTTTCGAGTGCTCAATAACAGCATCGGCAACAGAAAACATCTCTATCTACCATAGTTAGGAATCCCATATAAGTTACTTTGATTAGTTTATCCTTTACGAAATAGTAGTCTTCAAGTATGGCTTCAAGTTTAAGGTGGTGCAGATTGTGTGTAGATTCAACATTTTCTTTTTTAAAGCAATATATAAATATAATAATTTCAAAAACTTTTATGCCAAAAATAAAATTAGGTAGAACTTGTTTTTTAGGAAAAAAAAATTTTGAAAAAAAATTCTGTTTTTATTGATCACCCTTTGCAAGTTCAGCTCAATGTTATCTTTTCATGACTTTTTTCATGAATTCCATTTTATTATGACTTTTTTGACAAAAAAAAATGTATTAATTTAAATTAAAATATTTTTATTTCAAATTCAAGATGAGCGTATCTGTCAAAATGAATGACCAGACTTAATTTAATGAGTGGTTACCAGACTTGATTTAATGAGTGGTGACCAGACTTGATTTAATGAGTGGTTACCAGACTTGATTTAATGAGTGGTTACCAGACTTGATTTAATGAGTGGTTACCAGACTTGATTTAATGAGTGGTTACCAGACTTGATTTAATGAGTGGTTACCAGACTTGATTTAATGACTTGAAATGTCATGAGAACATATTAAATGAATTAGTAACATTAATTCATTCGAAAATTAATATTAATCCTAATAATATTGATAATTTTATAAAATAACGTTGAAACTCTACAGAAAAAGAAATCAAGTAAAAATAAATACATAACATTTTCAAAATAAACCTTTAGATAAAATAAATAAATTTAAATTAAGAATAATTTAAAATTTTACACCGAAATAAGTTTCGATTTTGGCAAATATTGTGCTTTTGCTTCTGGTTTTTTTTGACTTTAAAGATGCTTCAATTGTTATTTATTGACATTATAACAATTTTATAATTGTCAATTAATTAAGCTTGTCTATTTGTAACAAAGTATGTACACTTTAAAGTAATTACAAATGTCAATTTTTCAAATTACAATACTAATACGTATTCTGATATATACGTACAAATCGTACGTATATACCAGAAAAAATAAATTAATAATGTTACGACAATAACGACAACGATTTAAATCTAAGTTTAGTACAAAGTTGCTATATTTAAATAGAGTTAAAATGCAAAACAAACGTTATTGTATCATGATTTAAACATAAATTTTTCCTCTTTTTGTTATTATTGAATAATATAAATAATGTAACATATTTTTACAAAATAGTAATCTTATTTCTACATATTATGTTTTCAGCAATCGATGTGAAGGGTGCTCATAGTTAGGTAGATGTTATATAATAGGTGTTCATACTGTAAAATAATAGACATTAATTTTATAATAGAATACTGGCAAATATCTATAATAAAAAAATACAGTGTTATTATTACTGTAAAAACAATTGTCCAGGGTTAGAGAATTTTTAAAAGTGTCAAAAGGATGAAAACTTAGATGTCACAACTGATAGCCTATCTTCACCCATGGACGAACTTAATTATGTCTTGATAAGTTTCAAGCGTGAAAAACTCCTTCTGCGCTTGTCAGCGTTACGTTATAAATGCATTTGGAAATGGGTTTTGAATATGGTAAATAAATCTCAAAATCCTTGCAGCTGGTTTTTCCTCAGCCAGTAGAAGTTTTCGAAAAACCTTAAGTTGAGAAAAAAGGTCATTTCCACAAACATTCTTTTCTTCTTCTAAACTTAGGAACGATTCTATATATATATGATACAAAAATCCAAACATAGTATCGTAATTAGTTATTTGTTCAAACCTTCTGCAATAACAAAAAAATATTCCACTTTAAACATTTGCTCGGCGGATCCTGCCATAGGATCTCCCTCGTACTCAAACATTCTTCTTTTCTATCTCTGCCTGGCTTCTTTGAAATTTGACTCTACACCAAGAGTTTCACTAAGTTCTCTTGCTAACAATGTTGCCGCCACAAAACCTAAATCTAAATTTCTGAAAAAAACTAAACTAGCCTTTGAAGTAACTGCGATGCAACTTCAAGGGCATTTTTTGAGTCTGTAGGCTTTTTTTTCATAACTTGTTTCATTCTTAACTGATGGTATTTCACTATTAGGTTTTTTTTTTCCTCAGTGAACTTAACTAGTTCAACTAATGCAGTATGAACATCCTTAATTTGATATCGAAGCGCTTTTACGCTTTCCAGTTTACTTTCCCAACGAATGTCACAGGACATTTTTTACAGCCAGGTTTAGTACGTGTTGAATGAAAATTTGCCATTGCATTTTTGACGAAGAAAAAAGTACATAAATTCTTTGCACAACATCAAAAATTGTCATAGATTTAGATAAACATTTTGCTGCGTGAATACTTTCTAAATTGGAACCGATGTCATACCATTGTCCCCTTCAGTCCCTGATTTGCAATCCAATTTCATCTAACTCTTGTAAAAGAAAATCAGTTAGATTTTTTTCCGTTGTTGATTTAACGTCTAAGATTCCAAGGAAATGTTCTTCGATGCTTACATCTTCATTTTCCCTCTTAAGAAAAGTTGCATTCATATCAAGATCTGGTGTGCAGCCTACTCATTTTTTACCTTTTTTATTTAACTTTTTTTTATTAATTTTATTTTAATTACCTTACTTTTGAATTTTGTTTTGAATTCTTTCATTTAATTTGTTCTCGTTTCTTCTTTTTAGATATTTTGTTCTTTCTTTTTTTTAGTTTTGAAAAATAAAATGAAATTTTCGCATGATCTATTAGGTTTTTTTTAACTTTTTCACTCTTTAAAAAAATATTTTATAGCCGTTAAACGTAAGAGCTTCAATAGCTTCGAACAAAGATTTGCATTTTTTTTTGTTCGCTATTATCACATACGAAGGAGAATCAAGTTAATATTTTTTTAATAAATAAATAATAGCGCGGGTAATTAAATATTTTTGGCACGTATATTATTTTTTAACGACAGTAACGCCTTTTATTTTTTAACAAGAGTAAGGCGTTGCTGAGGGAGGCCTTACTCTCGTTATCAATAAGTAAAAGTTTTGATTTCTCGTGTTTAGGATGACCTGGCTGCGCGAGGCCTTCCAAACCGCGAGGCCTGGAGCGGCTGCTCCACTCGCGCCACCCTAAGGACGGCTCTAAACGACAGATGCCCAGTGGAAAACAAAGAGCTTCTAGAAAAATACTAAAAATTAATCATAGTAAATTGTAGTAAATATAAACAGGAATAATAAACAATAGTCTAGAAAAGTAAGATTCATTAGTTGCTGTGCTGATGAAATGTTGTAAGTGTTGAGGGTAAATGTGATGCAGAGAAACGGTCAGTGATGGAGCAAAATTGATCGTTTTATAAGTAGTTACTATGTGGTTTGTTTTATTAGCAAGATAAACACACAGTATAGATATATGTGTTTCGTGGACATCTCACAGATGGTATGGATTTGTGCCTAATGGTATAGTATAAACACAAATAGTTTTTATCCAAGACTGGTATCCCACAAGAGAATTCATTCTGGGTGTACATCTTTCTGTTAGAATGTTCCTTTGTGTTATCCCAAAAGAACTTTTCTCAGGATAACCCATCAGGGCAATTGCCACAGATCTCTGCATTGACGCTGAGACCAGAGAACGCTTAGTGGAGTTCAGTACAACTTGCACACTATTGTAAATGATTTTTTGACATGTGTGACAGTAAGTGCAGTGATTCGTAGGAGTATAACGGGAGTTGGTGAAAGTTGTGAACATTCCAACTTTGAGCAAGCGTCTTTGACAGAAATTTTTCTAAAGCGGAAAAAACGTCTGAATAGAGAATCGGCTTTACACTTTGGTCGAAATATAGAAAAAAATTTTGGTATATCAGTAGTAACGTAAAATTTTAACATCTTATTATATTATTGTCTATTTGAAAGTTTTTTAAAAAACATATTTTCATTATTTATATTTATTTGTTATTGAACGCACATTTTGACGAAAACTTAATACTACACAATATTTTGAATAAATACTAGTGAAGTTATAATGAAGTTATAACTTAAATGAAGTTATAACTTAAAAACAATTTTAATTAATCGTTTTGTCTTTTTTAAAAATATTGTGTAAGACAATGTTTTTAGACAATAAAAGTTTCACAAGATCTTACTGAATTTAGAAGAATTAAATGATTGGTTAACGACCCTTTTAAAACGTTGATGATTGATTTCTGTAAGTATAGCTTTTCATTCAATATAACTGAATTAGGAAGCATTCTAACGAGTTATCATGCCTTAACATGAATTAAAATGCGTTAAGAGATTATTTAATACTTCATACAGTAAATAGCGGAAGTAGGTTTTTAATTTTAGAAAATCTTTGAACAATATCACAGCGTAACAAAAACTTTATTCCCTCATGTATTAAAATATTTTGTATTTCAAATGAATTAAGCACTGTTCAAGTATTTTACATATTTAATGTATTTTAAAAGTCATTTTCTAATGTTTCACACATATGTTGACAAATAATAAATTAGAACTAAAGTTCCATGAAAGGAAAAATCATTAAAAAAACCAACACACCGAAAGTTGTTAATCCAACAGCAGAGTTTTAAAACCTAATTTAAAAATATACATTTTTTCAATACTATATTTTAATTATTTTTTGCTGTGGTAACATCTGCTTTGTTATCAATCTTTTTTTATAGTATAATTAAATTTAATTCTTACAAAAATGTATATTGAATTTTTAAGTATATATCATATATCGTTAGAGGCAATTTTTTTTTGTGCGGCCGTGGCGCAGTGGTTAGAGCGCTTGCTTTAGAAGCAGAAGATTGAAGTTTAAAACGAGCTCTGGACATATTTTCGCGTAACGGTATGGAAGGAGGCGTGAACTTCCTGGTTAAATGCACTTCCGCGGTGCTCTGTGACAAGTTGTTCTTGTGACAAAATTTAAAAAAATTTAGGAGAGGAGGGTGGGTTCCACCACTCCTAAAGAAGATGATTTTCCTTCTCAAAGTGAAATTTTGTACTCGACCGGGACGTTGATTCAGATTGGCACGTTTATGGTTTACAATATTTGGAGAGATAAAGCTTTTTTATTTAATATATTTTAGAGAGATTATTAAAAGTTGTACACTTAATTTGTTTAATTTTTTGAAATGCTTTTTTTAACGGCGTATAAAAAATTACGTAAGTTCGGTTAATACCTTAATAAGCAAAGTGGGTAACTCCATTTTTTGTCAAAACAATTTAATAATGCTTTTGTTTTCTGCATTGTAATACGCCTGCTTGGCATTTTTAATTGGCAATTAAAAGAGCTAGCTCTACATTACAAATTCCTTAAAAAATACCTTAAGAACTGTATCTATTTGTATCATTGTATCTATCAAATCTTGTGTATATGTTATTGTATCTAGTATCAGTGTATCAATCATTGTATCTATCAAATCATCTTGTATCTATCAAATCTTGTATCATTGTATCTATTAAATCTTAATTTATACCTATCAAATCTTTCTGGCTTGATAAAAATATCCTTTGAGTCATTAAAAGTGATTAAGCATCCACTCATTGTCCAGCATTTATGTATATCATGCTTATATATTACATGTCTATTATGCTTATCATGCTAAGAAAAGCCAAAAACTTTACACTTTCACCCTTCCAAAAGTGATTTGTCATGAACCAGCTATTTGAATAATTACACATTGTAACAAAAATGAAAAAACAATAACTTTTTGTTTCCGGCATGTAACAATTTCTTTTTCTTATGCCCTGAAAGTTACGTGCTAAGTACTTAAAATGCTAAGTAGTTAAAAGTTTGGGTTTGTAAAAAATCTTCATTTTGCTATTTTATGATACTTTAAACAAACCTAAAAATTGGGTTTGAGTACTTTTGAGCTAGTGCTGATGAAAATATCTTGTGTTTATGCCATTACATAGTACACGGAAAATATCCTTGTTTATGAGTTTAATGATATCGATGAATTAAATTGCGCGTCTAAAATTACTAATTAATTCATTTACTTTAAAAAGAAAATAACTCAGTTAGGGATATGGGCCTGACTTATCCAATGCAGAGTTATTCATTTTAAGAATAAAGCTGTAAAACTTGGTTTAAGAAATAGTGAAAGCTACAAATCAGAGAAGTTGACAAGAACCTATTTTAAGCTTTTTTTATTGATAGAGCTGACCTTTGCTTTTGCCATGATTTTGGAACTAGGGCTGTAGAAAGTAATTCAGGTATTTTTTGAAGCCACGAACTAGCGGTTTTTTATTGACAGCTTTTTGGAAGTTATAGACTTCAAGATTTCTTGCTCGATTTTTAGGAAAAACGTATTAAATTTTAATGTTTTTTGTGCCTTTTGGGTGCCTTAGAAAAAAAGAAATTGAAGTTCATGTGAACTTCATATAGTTATCGAAACTCTATTGAGAAGCTACTTATTGATTTAAAAATTTTGCTCATGCTACTACGACAAAACGAGATGAACTCGATGAAACAACTTTAGTCAAGAATCACTTGCTTTTAAGTTTCAGAGTTTGTAGAGCTTTTAGAGTTTTTTTCTTAAGTTATCTAAGGCCAAAATTAAAAGTGAAATTTTTGTTGCTCCTCAAATAAAGGAAGTGTTCAGACGAACAATTCTTTTTCTCACAAGGTCCGCATTATTTAGAGAAAAGCATGGAACTGTTGTAAATTCATTTTAGGCAACCACAGAGCTAAAAATTACGGGTAATTGGTGATATCAGGTAAAGGGTTTTGTCACTATGAGATGCTTTTAGAAGTAATCTGCTGGCCGAGTTTAAAAACAAGATTTCACAAAGGTGTAAAAAAGGTAAAACAGAGGTTCCTAGACTAATACAATGAGAAAACAATAGAGGACTATATCTGAAGGCTAATGGGGAAATGCATCCTTGACAACAGCCACGTATTCCACAGCATGTTAAAAAATCTGTATCTGTCTCTTTAAGTTGTTCAAATAACACATCACGTTTTTGTTCTTTGACATATGCAGGAATGTTTCATTACGTCAGAACTTATATTTTGGTCAAATCAAGCATTTAATTAAACGTAAGTATATATATTTTTTTAAACATAAACTTTGTACCATCCTTGTAAGTTTCCTCACCATAAACAAGTTAAGAGAAGTGATCAGGGTTGGGATCAAATACGTGTTTGTATTTATATTTGATAAAAAGTAGCTGATTAGGCGTTTTTGTATTCGTATTCCAGTTGATTATATAAATATACTCATAATACCAAGAGGTTCGCTGCTTTTTTTATTTTTTTTTTTTATTTTTAACATTAAAATAAATTAAAAGTTAGTTTTAAAGGAATATTTTTAAAAGACTTGTTTGTATTCTTTTATTTAGACCATTTTTCAGTCTTGTCTATAAAAATTCTTTGTATATTTTCTTAAACAAAAGTACAAATAATTGTATTCAGAAAATGCAAATATTTTAATTTGAATTTGTATTTGAAAATCTAGAGTTAACGTATTCTTATTTGTAGTTGATCAAACGTATTTGACCCCAACCAAGGTCATTTATAAGCTTTTAATCTGATTGTAGCTTCAAAGATTTTTTTTTTATAAACCATCTCACTCTAATATGACATTGTGTTACATTAAAAGACGCTACAATACTTTGTTGATTTGCCTTATTATGATAAACGTAAAATGCTTTAAAGACAACAGGTCCTACGAATACTAATACTAATGTCTTTTACTGTAGACAAGGTCCTTGTTGTTTTAAAGCAGTTTATTTTACTTTGATGTTTATTTTTTTGTAATTCTGAAGTTTTACGATCTTCTTGTACTTACCTAATCTACTTTACATATGTAAATAACTTTAAGAGTAAATGCCAACCCTTGCTAGTTTTTAAACGATTTTTGACTACGTTTGTATTTACCAAAAGTTTCAACAACTTTTAACTGCAATTGGGTTGCCCTTTTTTCTTCTCAATATGTTACCTTTTCGGTAAAAGCATTTGCTGTTGTAAATTTATTTCTCTGTATTTTTTTGACATTGTTATTTATTTTTTAAGTATCTGAATTAAAAAAAGAGTCGAACACTTAAACACATACTTTAAGTATGGTATTAGTAAACTCTTGAGTAAAAGACTACCGAGAATTAACGAGAGGTAATGTAAAACAAAAGGTAAACAAGTTTGAGTTACATACGCTTATAAACGATACAATTACATATAAAAAAAATTATCATTAAATTAAAGAAAAATTATATATGCTATTTTAGTGTGTTTACGTTATTAAGCTTAAATGTTTATTCTTTCAAATATTCAATAACATTTAGACCTTCTTTGGCGACCATGATCTTTAATATAAAATTTTAAATCAATTTAAATCAATTATATATATATATATATATATATATATATATATATATATATATATATATATATATATATATATATATATATATATATATATATATATATATATATATATATACATATATATATATATATGTATGTGTGTGTGTGCGTGTGTGTGTGTGTGTGTGTGTGTGTGTGTGTGTGTGTGTGTGTGTGTGTGTGTGTGTGTGTGTGTTAAACTTGACCATTAAAAAAAATGTACTAGAATATAATCTTTATGACGTCTTTTTGACGTAATTATTTTGACGTAATCCTATTTTGATTTTTTTTTTTTTTCTCTTAGTGTTTTAGTTATTTGTCAATATGCACACAATGTTATCCTTAAGTTTTAAAAATATATATAATTACAATCTGACTGGGGCATATAGAAGAAAAAATATCTTATTATCAAACTCTTCGTGAAATAGAGAAAAATAAAATGTATTAAAAATAAATAGAGAAAAAAAAATTTAAAAATCTTAAAAAATAAAAATTTTTTAAATATAATTTATTCAAAAGATGTTTTGTCTTGTACATAATCCCCATTTATTGAAAACTAATGTATAAAATATCACACTTCCATAATATATAAATGTATATATATATATATATATATATATATATATATATATATATATATATATATATATATATATATATATATATATATATATATATATTATATATATATATATATATATATATATATATATATATATATATATATATATATATATATATGTATATATATATATATATATATATATATATATATATATATATATATATATATATATATATGTATATATTTATATATATATGTATATATATATATATATATATATATATATATATTTATATATATATATATATATATATATATATATATATATATATATATATATATAT